AGAGATCCCAGTGAGACAGGCAGAGATCCCAGTGAGACAGGCAGAGAGCAAAATGATACAGACAGAGATCACAGTGATGCAGACAGAGATCACAGTGAGACAGGCAGAGAGCAGTGAGACAGACAGAGATCACAGTGAGACAGACAGAGAGCAAAATGATACAGACAGAGATCACAGTGATGCAGACAGAGATCACAGTGAGACAGACAGAGATCACAGTGAAGCAGACAGAGATCACAGTGAGACAGACAGAGATCGCAGTGAGACAGACAGAGATCACAGTGATGCAGACAGAGATCACAGTGAGACAGACAGAGATCACAGTGAGACAGACAGAGGTTCCAGTGAAGTGATCCCAGAGATTCCAGCGGTGCAGATAAAGATCCAGGTGGTACAAAGGGAGACCCCAATGATACAGTGATCCTAGTGACACAGTATTCCAAATGATTCAGTGTGCCCAGTCATACGGACAAAGATCACAGTGATCACTGCATCAAAGAGATCCCTGAAAGTCAAGTGAAGATCTAAATGAGACATGAAGAGATCCCAGTGATACAGGTTGAGATGCTAGAGATTCCCCGCACACAAAATCCCCAATGATAAGCAGAGATGCCTTAGTTAAACAGACATTATTGCTAGTGATACAGACAGTGCTACCTGTCAAATTGGCAGTGTTCCCAGTGTTATAGACAGTGTCACTAGTAAAACAGATTGTGTTCCCAGTGAAACAGACAGCATTCCTAGTGATCCCGTCAGTGTTCCCACTGAAACAGTGTTCCCAATTAAACAGCGCTCTCAGTAAAACAGACGGTGTTCCAAATGATACAGACAGTGTTCCCAATGATACGGACACTATTCCAAGTGAAACAGATAATATTCCCAATGAAACAGACATTGTTCCCAGTGATACAGACACTGCTCACAGTGAAACACACAATGTTCCCAATGATACAGTGTTCCCAGTGATACAGTGTTCCCAGTGATACATACGGCGTTCCCAGTGAAACAGACATTGTTCCCAGTGATATACACAGTGTTCCTAGTGATATACACAGTGTTCCTAGTGATATACACAGTGTTCCCAGTGATACAGTGCTCCAAGTGATACAGTGCTCCCAGTGGTACAGAGAACTAGCTGGTATGAATGGATTGTAAAATCTGACTGGTACAAACACACATTCAGTTGGAGTGCTGCCCCAAAACCCTGTCTCTGAATGCCACACTCTCCTCAGTCTATGCCCTACACTGACAGCACAGCATTACTGAGTAAGTCCAGATTCCAGCCTCCCCAGGTGGTAAATGTTACCTCGAATCCCTGAGGCCCCTGGCCTTCCTGATCTGCTAGGATCGTAGGCAAAAAGGAGAAGATACTGTCCACCATATGCAGCTCGTCGAGGTCCTCAGTCTTCATCTTCTGCTTCCTCTTCAAGTATTCCTCCCTCTGGCGCCTCTCATTTTCCATGTCCAGTTTGGCCATGCGTGCTAGATGTTCCTTTAGAAAGAGCACAGCTCCGAGTTAGCACCAACCAGATGGATGAAAGCGTTGACAGGAAACAAAACTATAAAGAGATATTAAGAACTGCTGATGCTGGAGTCTGAGATAACACAGTGTGGAGCTGGATGAACACAAAAGGCCAGGCAGCATCAGAGGAACAGGAAAGTTAATGTTTCGGGTCGGGATCCTTCTTCAGAAATGGGGACAGGGAAGGAAGCTGGGAAATAAATAGAGGGAGGAGGGGTGGGGCTGAGGAAGGTAGGTGGGATGGTGGTAGGTGAATGCAGGTAGGGAGTGGTGGGGATTGGTCAGTGAGGTGGGAGGGGCGATGGCCAGGTTGTGTCAGGTCAAGGAGGTGGGGATGAGAGGGAGGGTTGGACATGGGATGAGGCTGGGGGTGGGGAGATTTTAAAACTGGTGAAACCCATGTTTAGGCCATTGGGCTGTAGGCTCCCGAGGCAGAATATGAGATGTTGCTCCTCCAGTTTGCGGGTGGTGTCATTGTGATACTGGAGGAGGCCCAGGATGGACATGTCACCCAGGGACTGGGAGGGGGTGTTAAAATGGTTGGCGACTGGGAGGTGTTGTCGTTTGTCGCGAACAGAGTGCAGATGATCTACAAAGTGGTCTCTGAGCCTCCACTTGGTCTCACCAATGTAGAGGAGGCCACATAGGGAACAACGGATGCAATAGACCACATTGATGGGATGTGCAGGTGATTCTCTGTCTGATGTGAAAGGTTTGTTTTGTGCCTTGAATGGAGGTGAGGGGGGAGGTATAGGGGGAGGTGTAGCACCTCCTGCAGTTGCAGGGAAAGGTGCCAGTAGTAGTGGGGTTAGTGGGGAGTGTGGAGCGGACGAGGGAGTTGCAGAGAGAGTGGTCCCTATGAAAGGCAGATACAGGTGGGGAGGGAAATATATCCTTGGTTGTGGGGTCGGATTGTAGGTGGCGGAAGTGGCGGAGAATGATACATTGGATGCGGAGGTTAGTGGGGTGATATGTGAGGACAAGGGGGATTCTGTCTTTGTTTTTGTTGGG